AAACATCCCATTTGTCCTTCCACTTCACTGCGAGCAATTCCTCATTTCTCAAGCAGGCTTTTTCCCCCTTTCTAAGACAGGTATTTACAAGCCGTTGGGAGAAGCCCCAGCGATTAGGTTGCACAGTGCCACATGCGCCAATTCCAAGATTGTACAAATGTCTAAATAGTGGCACACTTGAATAAAAATTGTCCATGTATAAGTGGTACCCCATATGAAAAAAGTAGTCCCAAACTATCTTGCTACTGTTCCTCATGTAGTCTGGGCATCCAGGGGGGCTCCACATGACTATGACTATCTTTTCCCTCGTAAATCCAAAACTTATATGTATAGCCTGTTGCCCTCTCACATTTCTTATACATCTTGACCCCATATCTGACACGCTTGCTGGGGAGAAATTGTTTGAATGCAAGGCGGCCAGAAAAATTAATGAGGGACTCATCAATGCAGATGTTTTGCTGGGGACTATAGACATCTGCAAATTTTTGGTTAAGGTGATTTATGAGGGGCCGAATTTTGTGAAGCTGGACAAATTTAGTGTGATCTCTGTAACTTACAGTTGTGATGAGATAGCGATAAATTCAACCTCAGTTGGATACAGGGGTGGACTGACAACACGTGGGGCCCCCCGGGCAATAGGGGATCATGGGGCCCCTGTGTCCTTGCCCAAACTTAAAAAAAGCCTATGAAAACAGTACCAGGGGCATCTCATGGGGCCCCCTACTGACCCCGGGCCCTCGGGCAGTGCCCGAGTTTCCAAATGGTCAGTCCGCCCCTGGTTGGATACCACAGTCAGTGACTCAATCAGAATGATATCTTGCAGATCTTGTGAAGTTTATTCCATAAACTGAGAGAATCTTACAACAATGAACATTTGATAGGTCAAAAGATCATACTGTTTCTGCTCCATGCCATGAGGCTTGCTGCAATGCATCTCTTGGAAGGGGGAGGGCTATCTATACAACATTAACTAAACCAAAGGAAAGGGAGGAAAAGAGACAAAATATAGAAAACATTTAAAGACATATGACAGTCAATATGACTGTCAGGGCTCCAGATATGACCAGAGGTGTGTGGGCTAACACAGGGAAATGCTCAGGTATGGTGTAAACAATATAATTTATTAGAGGCTATACAAAAATATAAACGCACAATATAAACAAAACCAAACCTCCAACTGATAACGGAAAGTACAAGCACACAGACAGGAATAGTCAGGGCTGGTGAGGTGGAGTGGTCAGGCAGGCCGGGTCAGGAACCATCGGGCAGACAAGGTAAAAAGGAGCAGGCAGCGCGTAGTCAAACGGGCCGGGTCAGGAACAATCAGGCAGACAAGGTACCAGAGGTGCAGGCAGGAGAGTAGTCAGGAATAGCCAAGGTCGGTGCAGGCAGAGTTCTATCATTGTCAGGAGTCAGGCAGAGGGATGGATGAAGGAAGGCAGGCAGACGACAGGATCAGGTTCAGGCACAGGGGCTCATGGGAACAATACACCAAGGCACTGATTGCAGGCCTGGTCCTGCTTAAATACACCTCCTGCAATCAGCATCAGGTGATGGCTTGACTGCAGGAGTGAGATTCTGGCTGCTGAGAGCACCCGCTGTCCAGCACTGGTACTGCAGCCCACAAGGCAGGTGAGTCCCACCACCAGTGGTGAGTCCATTCCTGACAATGACAGTCATGTGAAACATGACATAGGGGCTAAACGCAGGTGTTAGCAGGTGCCAGGGCTGATCCTGCTAACGCTGCATTTTTGGGGACACTATACTAATGCAATGGAGGTTTATTGTGTATGTGAGCGTGTTACTGGCAATCAAGGGGTTAAATGTGATTACTGGTGTACTGCCGGGCAATCTGACGGTATCTGGGAGGGGTGTTAACTGACGCTAATGCTATCTGAAGTCGCCGGCAGCACTAATACAGTGATCAGCAAAAAATCTGTACTCCGTACTAATGACACTGGTGACAGGGCAGAGTGAAGGGGTTAACTGGGGGTGAGGGGAATCAAGGGGTTACATGTGTCCTAAAGTCTTCTAACTGTGAAAAGTGTGCTGCTTTCACTCACTGTGTGTTGATTCTTCTCTCTCTGGGACGGAATGTGCCCAGAGAGGGAAGATGTCATCATTTCCTGTACCTGAGTAACTGTTAACATAGGTACAGGAAGGTCCCTGATAGGACAGGGATTGATCATCCGACTTAGGACGACCATCACTGGCCTAAATCCGCCCGCGAAAACTGTGAGTGTGAATCACGTATATATACGTGATTTTGCGCACCTGTGCCTCCCTGTAACTATTTCTGCTATAGGGCGGCTCGGAAGCAGTTAAAGCGGAACTTCCACTTTTGGGTGGAGCACAACTTTAACAAAACAAAAAACTTCCTTTACCTTCACTAAAGCTAGACATTCATGGCTCAAAGTTCAACTGAATTCTTTCTGAATTGTCTGAAATTTGAACTGTAGGTGACCCAGTCAGCACCAACCAACTTGACAAGAGTCCATAAAAGTTGCCTGAGCTGGGTATCCCATCAAATGAAGATTTCACTGAAGAAAAAAAGCATTCAAGAGGTGCTGGGACCTTAATGTGAGTTCATACAAAGTAGTAAGATGACACAAATGTTTGGAGAGCTCACTGGCTCAGGTTAAGCTGATCACAAAAGACAAGGCTACCCTCCAGTGAGTTCCCCAGCAGGTTACCAGAAAAAGCATGCACTAATGGAAGGAGCCCCCAACCAAAAGGATAAATGAGTCCAAATTAATTTAATATTTGATGCTAAAAAACAGCCATCGTATTTGGGGGTCAAAAAAAATCCCCCTTTATCAGAACCAAGAACCATAATTGGACTCAAATTAGAGCTTTCCTGTGTGAATCTGTGTAGGGGACCTAATTGCTGGATTAGGAGAGTTATAGGCCACCAGTATCTGGATGAGCAATCAAAGGTTCTAATTTCAACTGAAACCTTGATGAAGGAAGGGGGGGGAAGGGGGGAAGGGGTTCTGACCCTCAAAACACATTGGCTATTTTAGTATAAACTAATAAATGAATTTGGACTCCTTTGGTCTATCACTCCTTCCATTTCCATTACTCCATGCTTTTTTTTCTGGTGTCCTATCAAAGGCAGGCATTTAAACAGCAACGGGTATAGTGGCTGTCTGACTACAATAGGCAGCAGTGCATATTTTTCATTCATGCTGTTAGCTGGATAGAGGATACTCTTGATTTTTCTTCATTCAGCCCACAGGAAATCTAATTGTGTATGGCTAGTCCTAGTGAGTTAAATCTCCCTTCATTGGTTTCTCACATGCTCCCATGCAGCTCATCATGGGAGAGTTTCATAAACAGAGGTACTGCTGTCAATCCAAAAAGCTGTGGGCAGGACTAGGTGTGGCCAGGTGATGATTGACAAGCTACAGGATTGTGAATCAGCAATGATAATACTGATAGCCATGTCCCCTAAAAACATTTTCTCATCCCACTGTAATGAAAGCAGGAGCAACCTACATAAGAGTGGCAACTCTGCTCCAAATTCAGGAGTAGTGCAGTATTGTTGCCACACCATCACAAGATGTTGCATTAGGAGGAAATCACTGCCAGGATCAGTGGGTATTTATGACACTTTGCAGGGAAATGCAGATGTTCTTCTAATTAAATGTTGCAGCACATACATTTTAACTTTAATGAAAATTTGTAAAGTGCCTAGTAATGGAAATTTTGAAGAGAAAATGAAAAAAATTACTCTTTCTGCAATCATAACTTTTAAACAGTTAATAGCCTTTGACATGGAAACCAAAAGAGAACACACAGCGAGTACTCCTAACATTCAATGTGCTCTCCTTAAAGGGTCTATTGAGGTGGACTGGATGCCCCTCCCTCCACTGTGCATCTTAGGAGCACCCCCCTCTGGTGAGGAGCTAATCTTTCCTTTTGGAAGAATTATCTGAAGATAATGGGACCACTGAAAGTCTGTCCCGAGGCTTACATTAATACATTTCTTTGTGTACTTTTAGACTGTGAGTACTCTGGATCAAGCTTTACACTTGTCTCTCTTATTTAAAGGGAATTTATTTTGTTTTGCATACATCTGTTTGTTATGTTCAGGGCTAAAAATGTTATATTGCATATCAATATTGCATATATACCATGTACTGTCCACAGGTGGAGCTCTAGAGACTATTCAGTGAGAGTGTTTTGCCATTCTTTCATTTTCTACTTCTCTGCTGTAAAAAGATCGGAATTTGATCCCCTTCTGCTTAGCTCAATTTACAACATGCATTGCTGAATGAGTCAGAGGCAGGGGCAGACTGACAACTCATGGGGCCCCCGGGCAATAGGAGATCATGGGGCCCCTGTGTCCTTGCCCAAACTCAAAAATGCCTATGAAAAAGGTACCATGGGCATCTCATGGGGCCCTCTACTGACCCTGGGCCCTCGGGCAGTGCCCGAGTTTCCTAATGGTCAGTCCGCCCCTGGTCAGAGGATACACACACTTTCTCCATCTCACATGATTCTGTATAAAGTATCAGTTAGAGAAGGACTGACCAGCTACTGTGGGCTACAACCTTTATGGCCCTGCAGCAAACCATGCAATTGGTCAAAGCTGTGCACCTGCCTGCCATTCCACAATGGGGGATGCAGTTGGTGTATGATAAGGTCAATAATAGGGGTAGGGAAGGCCAAAGATGCTACCTTGCCTAGGGCCCCATTGTGCAGTCATTCATCTCTAGATGAAGATGTCAAAGATATAGTATGTCTGCAGGTCATTAAAGAATTTGTATTTGCAAAGAGGCGTGTTTGCAAAGTGGTAACAGCTTAAAATGGACCTTTTACCCCATTCTATAAATTTCACATCAGCTGTTTCTCTGTAGGACTAAATTGCCTAAAATTTTACAAAAATAATTCTGATTTACCTACCTTTTTCTCTTGCACTTTCTGGTTTCCCAAAGGCAGTGGTGACGTGGGCTGCACAGATGCCCCTCAGAAGGCAACATTACTATTGGCTCCAGGCAGGGGCGGACTGACAACTCATGGGGCCTCCGGGCAATAGGGGATCATAGGGCCCCTGTGTCCTTGCCCAAACTCAAAAAAGCCTATGAAAAAGGTACCAGGGGCATCTCATGGAGCCCTCTACTGACCCTGGGCCCTGGGCAGTGCCTGAGTTTCCAAATGGTCAGTCCGCCCCTGGCTCCAGGGAAATCCTGTACCTACACTGGGGTATCTTGCAAGATCTCACAGTATTGTCATACAGTGCATGCGCAAGATGAAGTGTATGATGTCATGTGCTTCATATTGTGCATGTGATGTTTTAAATCACATTAATTTGCTCCCTGAGATTTTGCAACATATCACCGAAGTTTTTAGCTGGTAGAGTCATCAATGCATGCACAAGATGAAGTGCACAACATCATGCTCTTCATCTTGTGCATGTGCAGTTTCATGGACATTTTTAAAATGGCAGTGCGGGAATGGGGACCCGGGCAGCACGGAGGCAGGACAAAATAAATTCACAAGGATATAGGTATAGTGCCTTGAAAATGTATTCATCCCCCTTGAAATTTTCCACATTTTGTCATGTTACAACCAAAAACGTAAATGTATTTTATTGGGATTATATGTCATAGACCAACAAAGTGGCACATAATCGTGCAGCGGAAGGAAAATGATAAATGGTTTTCAACATTTTTTACAAATAAATATGTGAAAGGTGTGGCTGCATTTGTATTCAGCCCCGCTGAGTCAATACTTTGTAGAACCACCTTTTGCTGCAATTACAGCTGCAAGTCTTTTTGGGGATGTCTCTACCAGCTTTGCACATCTAGAGAGGGAGATTTTTTCTCAATTCTTCTTTGCAAAATAGCTCAAGCTCTGTCAGATTGGATGGAGAGCATCTGTGAACAGCAATTTTCAAGTCTTGCCACAGATTCTCAATTGGACTTAGGTCTGGACTTTAACTGGGTCATTCTAACACATGAATATGCTTTGATCTAAACCATTCCATTGTAGCTCTGGCTGTATGTTTAGGGTCGTTGTCATGCTGGAAGGTGAAACTCCTCCCCATTCTCATCTTTAGCAGACTCTAACAGGTTTTCTTCTAAGATTGCCCTGTATTTGGCTCCATCCATCTTCCTGTCAACTCTGACCAGCTTCCCTTTCCCTGCTGAAGAAAAGCATCCCCAAAACATGATGCTGCCACCACCGTGTTTCACGGTGGGGATGGTGTGTTCAGGGTGAAGTTAGTTTTCTGCCACACATACTGTTTTGCTTTTAGGTCAAAAAGTTCAATTCTGGTCTCATCTGATCAGAGCACCTTCTTCCACATGTTTGCTGTGTCCCCCACATGGCTTGTCGCAAACTGCAAATGGCACTTCTTATGGCTTTCTTTTAACAATGGCTTTCTGTGGATCTTCTTGCCACTCTTCCATACATGCCAGATTTGTGGAGTGCATGACTAATAGTTGTCCTGATGGACAGATTCTCCCATCTGAGCTTGTGGATCTCTGCAGCTCCTCAAAAATGTTCTCTAAAAAACCTTGGACGGCTATACAGAACAGCTGTATTTATACTGAGTTACACACAGGTGGATTCTATCTACTAATTAGGTGACTTCTAAAGGCAATTGGTTCCACTAGATTTTAGTTAGGGGTATCAGAGTAAAAGGGGCTGAATACAAATGCACACCACACTTTTCAAGTATTTATTTGTAAAATATTTTGAAAACCATTTATAATTTTCCTTCCACTTCACAATTATGTGCCACTTTGTGTTGGTCTATCACATAAAATCCCAATACAATACATTTATGTTTATGATTGTAACTTGACAAAATGTTGAAAATTTCAAGGGGTTTGAATACCTTTTCAAGACACTGTAAGTATAATTTGTTTAGGATAACATAGGAAGGGTTAGATTCTCTGTCAAGTGTTCATTGTTTGTGTCCCCATTAGGCAAATACTGCTCAGTTCCTAGTGTTTTTTTATCTAAACATCTAGTCTAAACACCAGCGGCATTGCATATTGTGTGTCACTGCATTTACCACATTGATAGACGGAGGAGCATTCTGTACGATTTTCTGATCATACAAGGCCACACTGCCAGTAAATTTACCAACAGGGCACATTACCAGCCTGTTCTGTTTTTTTTATTGTCGTAAATAAATATTTGAAGGATAAGGAGCTTGTTAGCTGCCTAACAAAAAAGCATCACACAGATTTTTCACTGCCAAAACATCAATCCCTGTGTAATTGCTATGAGTTTCTTAGGAAGCACATTAAAAAAAAACCCAAAACGTATGTAGATGCAAATCTGTCATCTAAGGAAAAAATAGTTTGTTGTTTATCCAACTTTGTTGGGTACTTTGTTTTTTTATATAACACAGTGTGCTTGTATTAGGGCCCTATGCATTCAGGAAAGAATACCTTTGCCTCTACACACGAGGCCCTAAAGGCAACTACCACCCAGTACAGCATTTAGCCCCATCTCGCCGCAGCATATTTCTGCCTGTGGGCGGGACCAATTGGTTGGTCCCCAAGGTGGAAAAAAAGCATACTGAGAACAAGTAGAGTGGCACAGTTATTATTTGGTTAAGTGGAAGTAAAAATAACAGGTGGAGAACAGCAGCAAGGTATTTGCTTAACAGTCTCGAGCAAGTTGGTAACAATGTCTCACAGGTCACATGACACAGGTCTTGAAACTCTCAGCGATGTTTTTGGCAGAGCAGAATAATCCAACCACTTATAGTATCACCTTGAAATTATCAGAACAGCACATAGTTGAAGAGACACAGCTGTTTGGAGGGGTGGTGGTATAAGCAAGACTGAGCAGACCAATGACCAATCCTTAGCATCGACTCTAAAGTTCAAATGTAGTGGAGCCAGCAAAGGTGTCCCTATTCTGTCCTTCCTTCTCAGGAACCATTCCCTAGTACTAGATTCTCTGTACCTAGCCAGCATGGATCATGTCCCTTGCTCATCCACTTTGCAAATGTGCGCCAACTGCAACAGGGCAGTGCTATTATTTAGTACTGCCTTCACCAAAGATGGCCGCACAATTTATCCAGTGCTGCAGCGTCCCAATGGACCACTTCTCCCCTGGTGACACCTACGGAGGGCTTAGAGGAATAAAGTTCCTCTCATCCTTCATTTCTTTTGTACAATGGTCAGCAAAACAATGCTACCTGCAGAAGGAAGAATAAATGTCTACAAGTCTGCCATAGACTTTGACAGACTGCAGGGCTCCTGGGAGCACTAAATTGCCGGGATTGAACGCACAGCAGCTAGACGCCCAGTATGCAACCAGCCCGCAAAAAAAAAAAAGTATCTGTATGTGGGAGGGAGGGGAGGCATTCTCTATCATTGTGAATTTTGGTTTTCGTTTGGAAGCAGAGAGAATTTTACTGATCTTTACTTTATCTACATACTTTTAGATGCCGTTATTAAATTTCTCAAAAGATAACTAAAGGCAAAGACAAAAATGTAATACAGTATGTTGTGCCTTACCACTCCTTAGCTAAGGTGGATGCATTAGTGTTCTTTCTTCAGACTAAGAATATTTTCAGAAGATAATAAAGATAAACAAAGGCAGACATGCAGTCCAGCCTGGGTGGTAACCATAGCTTCCTACATAGATACTGTGAAGCAAGCATAGTAGCCACCCAGGAACATAAAGTGTGTTATTCACAGGATTACCAGGTGAAAATAAAGGGCAAAAAAGGACAAAAAAGAAAACAAATGCAGTCACCAAATAAGGGCTGGAGAACGGATATACTGATATATTTTACATTTTTGTTTTTGGGTTTAGATATGATTTAACACTTTGCCATCATTCATTAAATATAGTGCTGTGATATTTTTTATTTTGTATATTTGTCATACTTAAATGATTCAGATCATCAAACAAATTTTAATTTGATGATTTCATTTATTAAGGGAAAAAAGCTGTCCAAACTTACCTGGCCTTGTGTGAAAGAGTAATTGTCCTCCTTGTTAAATCAATTCTAAGGCTTTGGGACTCTATCGAACCACAGTGAAAGCCATTATCCACGAAAAACTTGGTGGTGATCCTTCCCAAGAGTGGCTGACCTACCAAAATTGCTCCAAGAACAGAACGACGACACATCCAGGAGATCATAAATTAACCCAGAACAACATCTAAAGAACTGTAGGCCTCGCTTGCCTCAGTTAAGGTCAGTGTTCATGATTCAACAATAAAAAAGAGGCTGAGAAAAAAATGGCATTCATGGGAGAGCTCCAAGGCAAAACCCACTGCTGATCAAAAAGAACACAAATGCTTGTCTCGTTATCCCCAAAACTTTTGGGCAATTATTCTGTTGACTGATGAGACAAAAGTTTATCTTTTTGGAAGGTGTGCGTCCTGTTACATCTGGTATAAAACACAGCATTTCATAAAAAGAACATCATAGCAATAGTCAAACATGGTGGTAGTAGTGTGATGGTCTCAGACTGCTTTGCAGCTTCAGGACCTGGACGACCTGTCATAATTGATGGAACGATTTATTCTACGCTCTACCAGAAAATCCTGAAAGAGAATGTCCAGCCATTAGTTTGTGACAGCTTTTTTCCCTTAATAAATTAGATCATCACTTAATAACTATATTTTTCATTTGCTCTGGTTATCTTTGTGTAATATTAAAATGCAGTTGATGAGCTGAATCATTTACATGTGACAAATATGCAAAAAAAAAAAAAAAAAAACAGGAAGGAGGCAAATACTTTTTCACAGCAGCAGATGGATGTAAGATGGATTACTGTATGTGTGTTCTTGCTTGCTGTTGATTTGGTAAATTATGATTTCAGCATTATTTTACATCATCTCCTTGTCTCACATGCCTCAGTATGTCCTTGCTGACTTGATGAATGCAAAGTAAATAGCAAACTGTCATATTTAACTTGGTTGATCCCTAATAGCACTCCCAAGGGATCATATCCCATTTATCTGGCACTGAGCCTTATCAGCAGGCACAAAATCCATTTCCATGCCAGGTCTGTCCCCTAAGCTGCAGATTATTTTCCATTTCTGCTTTAGCACTTACTTGTAAACTTGATATGGCTCAGATCTTGTTAATATTCCTAAATAAGGATACTGAAAGCAGTAAAAAGCATTTGTTGTTTGTGTACCAAATCTATATATTATGGAAAACAGAGAATAAACAGTTGAAAGTTTTAGGGTGGCTACATACTTAA